GTTCTTCTTATATCCGAGTCCTTCACCATTACTTGATTTTTGGCTATGTATTTTATCTAGGGTGTTACTAGCATTATTAAACTTTCCCAATGTATTTTCTAAATTAAAAACCTTAGCTTTTAATCTAATACAATTAGTGCATGTAGTAGAAGAAGATGGTAATGTTTCTTGCCTTTTTCCCAACGAAATGATTTCTTATTTAAGTTGAGCATTTATATTTTTGAGTTTCTTAACATCATTTTCAAAAATCAGGGATTGTTGTTTAACTCCATTTACTTCTTTTGAGGCCTTCTTAAATATTCCTAACAATTCTTCTACAATACTAACTATATCATTAAGAGTTAATGAACCATTGGAGAAAGGTTCTTGATCACTTACTTCTTTTAACAATTCTTCTTCTTCTAAGTCCATGATGCAAAGGTTGGTCGTTTCTTCTACGTCTGAGTCTTCACTTCCGGAGTCATTGTTTTCCCATGATATGTAGACCCGTTGTTTCTTCAGGGCTTTCTTCTCCTTCTCGTTCTTGAGCTTAGGACACATTGCTTTAAAGTGTCCAATTTCACCACACCCATAGCACTTGGCTGGAGTGTTTTCCTTGGCTCCCTTCTTGGACATCATCTTCTTGAATCTTCTCCCAAACATCCTGAGGTCGGTGTCGTCGCTATCATCTTCATCATCATGGTTGTTGTCATTTTTTGATGTTTATGCAAGAGAAATGGTTCTCTTGCTCTTCTCTTCTACCACCTTGGAAAATTGAATGTTTCATAGGTAATAAGGTTTCCTCGAAGGAAATCATAAGTAGCTATTTGAATATCACGACCTTCTTCAACAGCGTCCACCTTAGAGCGTCATTTCGGTAATAGACTACGTAGCAACTTCCTTACGAGTTCTCAGTCGGTGTAGACCTTCTTGAGAAGATTTAAAGGGTTGATGATGTTGAGAAACTCTCGAACATATCTTCTATCTTCTCGTTCTCCTTCATGGAAAACAATTCATACTCGTGAATGAGTTGATCAATTTTTGCCTCTCTTACTTGGGCAGTTCCTTCGTAGGTGATCTCCAACTTCTCCCACATTTGTTTTGCGGTTTTACACCGCAATATCTTGCGGTAGTCATCTGCATTAACGCCAAAATAAATCATATTTATTGCTTTAGCATTGAGCTCCATCTTTTTGCAATCTTCGTCGTTGTATTCCTCTTCGTACTCCGGTGTCACTAGAACCCCACCGTATATATATATATATATATATATATATATATATATATATATATATGTATATATATATACACACACATACTTGGGCCCCCTAAAAAATGGGCCCTGTCCCAATGACCAGCCTACCCCTCTCTCTAGCCGGCCCTGGTTAGAGCAAAAGAGAAGGGCTGGATGTTTAGACCTTTAATTAATCGATTTTTCTAAGAGGAAAAAATCGATTAGAGTCCTCTGTCCAAAAATCCTTATACAGATGGAAGTGCTAACCGATTAATCCCAAAGGGTATTAATCGGTTAATATCATGTGCGTGAAATACATTCAACGAATCAAAATCTTAATCGATTATTTCCAAGGGTAATAATCAATTTTTACGACAGTAATGCTCAAACATATATATTACAAGCATGTGTGTGAGATGAAAGGATTTTTGGAGTTTTTTACTCTTTTCCAACAAGTAAATCAAGGGTAAGACTACCCATCAAACTCAAAAATAATAGTTTAACCCTCAAAGTTAGTTTCTTTAAGTCAAAAAATATTTGTCATCCTTACAAATGTTCCTATGACTCAAAAAGAATAAAAGTCTTCAAAATCTTTGCTTCACTTAAAAAATTCTGCGTATGGATGAACGTTGAATTTAAGCGTTGTAAAATTTTTGTTACACCTCTTTGCTTTCTCGAATCGAAAATGAAATTTTCATTTGTCATTGCGTTTGTCATTTATCAAAACCTGAAAAATAATATTAAAATAATATCCAAAAAAAGTTTGAACTCATGTCCAACAGGAAATATTTGGGAGAAAGGTTTTCTCTTGCGTTTCTGATATTCACAATATGAACAAATGTTGTCTCTGTAGGATCCCACATGCTAGGAACACTATATATATGGAAACTAAATACAAAAAGAAAGGAATACAAAAGGAAATCAATATACATCGGAAAACTTTCATATACAGAATGATAATATATACCGAAATATAATCTTTCCTTTAACAAGAATGAAAGAAAAAACATTAGCAAGAGAGAGAGAAAAAAACTCCTAAAAAGAAACAAAACCAAAAAGAGCGGAATAAATATTTCTACTCCGCATTATGCAGTGGGCGTGCAAAATAAAAATAAAAAGTAGGAAACTAAAATAATAATTCTATAGATTGGAAAAGGAATCAAAAGTATAAAAAAATGGTCACAAACCTCACAAAATTGCTATTTGTTAATTTCAATATAAAAGAATTGAATAGTCTAAAATAATTTTAAAATAAGAATTTAAATCATATATATGATAAGATTCTGAAGTTTGAAATCATTTTCTTTGTAAACCTATCCTTGCTTAAATAAAAAATGCAATAAAAGAGAAAGAGAAAAAGTAGAAGAACGAAAAAGGAAAACCAAAACCCAAAAAAAAAGAAAAAAAGGAAAGAAAATACCGGAGTAAAGAAAAAAAATAAACGAAAAGCAAAACATGTGCAGGGGAGGGGCTGAAAAAACAAAAAAGAAAGAATAGAGGGCATCTAAGGAGAGGAAAAAGAAGAAAATGGGGTTAAAATTGAGAAAACAAAAATATATATGAATTACTCGGGTATAATTTGGTCCAAAGTGAGGCTTGCAATTGACTCGAAGTACCATTGATGAAGAGGTTTTCAAAGTTTAGATACTTCTAGGAGAGAATTGAAATTTAGATACCAAAATAAAATATTTCTTAACATTTAGGTAATACCAATAAAATTTGTTTATAGTTGTTACATTGTTTATGCTGATTTGAATTTTTCGATGTTGAAAGGAAGGGCACTCTGGGGTCGGATAGAGAGCTAATGTGGAGATTTATGAAGAGTAAAAACCATTAATTTTGCGTACAAATAACGCAAGTATTTCCGTTGAACCTGATGACTATCACCCGAATCTCACTGAATCATAGATTAGAAATCATCCTAAATATGACTAAAACATAGAGAAAAGTATCAAAATAGGACTTTCATGTTTTTTTCCCGGAATAGGATTTTGCATTGTGGTAATGTGACTTTGCATTGTGATAATGTGGCAGTGTACATGTGCAAATTACTATACTTTCTTGGTAATGTATATGACCATGTTTGGTAATGTAAGTTTTATTTCGGGAATAAAAACATGGAAGTCCTATTTTGGTATATCTTCAATGTTTTAGTCCTACTTTGGTCTTTCTCCCATCATAGATATATTCCTGCGAAAATATTTTTATTCTTTTTTTTTCAGTGGCCTGGAAATATTTTTCTAATTTTCTTTCTAAGTCTACTTTTTGTCACGGTAAATGTCAATAATTCCACTTTACCACCAACTCATGCGTTAATTATTTTTTTTAATAAGGAAAGGAGTTTCAAAAGATTGAAATATGCACATTCTTGAAAACTTAGCACCTCTCTATCTAATTCTAAATAAACGTATCAAGTCAACTAGAGAATAACATTTCCAGAAGAAAGAGTGATTTTTTTACCTTTGTAAGCTTATTCGGATGCGGGTATAATACGTCTATTCATACATTCGTGTATAATACGGATCATTTTTTTTAAAATATGTATTATTATACGTTTTTTATGTCCGGATACCTTCGTGTATTATACGTTTGATTTTTCAGAATTACAACTTATCATGAATGCATATATTTTTAATAAGAAACACATTTTAAAAGTTTGAAATTGAATAGAAATACACCATAAAATTCTAATAATTCAACCAACTCTATGATTTAGTGTTTATTCATTTTTTCCACGTGTATCCAAAGGAGATCTTTCAATCTAATTTTTTCCGTACTTCCACAAAATGTATTCAAAGTAAGACCACATTCTTCAAAATGAAGCTAACATTTAGACACAAATAAAGCATCGATCTGAGGCATGACAATAATTAAATTATTAGACAATTTATGTTTTACAAAATTGATTAAATGTTCATCATGAATTTTAAAGGAAGATTTAAGTCTCTTTATAATTTAAAAATGAACTCATTAAATAATGTTTTACACAATTTAAAGTTGAGTAGAATTAAATTAACTTTTTTTATTTTTTAGAATGAAAATATAGTTACAAACTTATATTTTTAGAATTGAGATCTTTCAAATGAAATCAAATTCTTAAGAGCTAAATACAAAAAATTGATCACATTTTAAAAAATTAAACAAATAGTCAAAATGTTGTTGTCGACTTTTCACTAGAGCGAATGCAGTGTTGAACTTCTAGTGGGATGGAGTCTAAGAGACTGGTAGAGACTAGTGACATTTAATTAACAAAGGATAATTGTAGACGACTTGAACTACGATCTGACTTTTAATACTTTTACAATTATTGAGTCGCCAAATTTTAAAGATTTGTATTTTTATAGCAAGTAAATTGATCTCATCCAAATTTGACCTTAAGGATTTTGCGATATAATGCATATAAAATTCGTAAATATGTCTGGGTTCAAAAATACGCATATTATATGTTAATCCCATTAAAAATTTGTATTCGAGAGTATAATACGTGTATCACACGTACGGGTATATAACATGAATATTATACAAATAAACTAACAAAGCTTTTTTTTCTCTCTTTTACATTACTTTTAATTACACAATATTTTTTCTTAAACTCTCTCCAAAATCAAACCAAGAAAATTAGTTTGAGAGGGAAGGAGGGAAACTTTATATTTTTGGAATTTTTAAGGGGGTATTAATTGAATTGGGTCCACCTGGTTCTTGTTTTCAATGATATGCGTCCAACACATGTCCCAACTTATTCAACGCACACATGGCCCTCCTCAGTTCTCTGTGTTTTGTCTCATAGAGCATAGCTTTAACTGCTTCCCCCCGATCAGATTTTAGCTTTCCTAATACTCCGTACTAAGATGCAGATCCAGAAGCCTTCATTTTTCAAGATCTTATTGGGCGACTTTGCCACTGTTCTCGTAAGTTTCTCAATCCCCCATTATAACTATTTCCTACCGATCTCCAGAATTATGGAGCTGATTGCTTATCAATTAAATGTGTTACATACAGCGTTTGCCGCCGCTGTTTGTGGAGGTTTACGGGGAGAGGCTATCGCCGACGGTGTCTCTCGCCACCGGCGCATCGCCGGAGAAATCATGGGCGGTGAAGGTCGAGAAGAGCGGCGATCATTGGGTGTTGGGAGAGGGTTGGTCGGATTTTGTGAAGGGGAACCGTTTGGAAGCAGGGGATTTCGCTGTTTTCGGGCTGATGGATAATATGTCTACCTTCAAGGTCTGGCTCTATGACTGCACTTGCTGCGATACGCAACTTTCTTCTTCTTCTTCGAGATTCTTCTCCCCTGGTGGATTTCCTGGTACAGGCATCGATCACCCTTTTCCCTTACAAATCATGTTTGATTGAGGCCTCTGGGTGGGGTTTGATTCGGGCTTATTGGAATAATAGAATAATAATACTCACCGTTTTTAACTTTATACCTATAATTAAATAAAAAATATATTGTATTTTAATTAAATAAAATAATATTTTGAATATATTTCATATAATTAATTTAATAAAAATATTTTTGTATCAATATCTAATATTATTTTTATTTACATTGAAGTCAAAATTTGCCTATTTTGACCAAAAAAGTCAAAAGTAGACAAATATTCAAAGACGATAGAGTAGGTTATTTAGGAATAATGGAGAAGAATACAAGAGAGTATATATAGGAAACAATTCTAACACAAATAGAAAACAATTTAATAATCGAAGCTGACTACTAAACAAATAATACCATGACTAATACGGAGTACTACCAAAAGTAGTGTTATTATTATCTAACATATCTCCTCAAGCTTCCTCTCGCCAAAGCAAGAGCAAGTTTGGACGTTATCTAGGAATTGGATACGCTGTGAAGGTGAAGGTTGAATGCCAACTTCAACTTGAAGTAGGATTAGAAGAGACCGAATGCATCCAGACTGAATCAGAAGCCGCTTCCGCCAGTGGTAGATTCAGGATTGTGAATGACTGGGGCAGTAAAGCAAAGTCGGGGTTCGGGGGCTGCCCCCGATTTTTTTAAATGTACTTTTTATCATGATGAAAAAATTAATTTTATATCAAACAAATTTAAAATAAGAAAAACAAAATATTTTAAATTTAGTAAAATTATACTCCCTCCGTCCCAATTTATAGCACATGTTTCAGTTTATAATGTTTGACTGAAACTATTTTCAAATCATTTTATATGACAAATGGTATACAGTTAAAAAATAAAAATTACATATCAAAATACTACATCAAAAGATATACAAATTTAGTAGTGACAACATTACTTTATTTTATCAAATTGCTAACGAAAATAGAGAAAGAAAGTGAATGAAGTTTGACCTTCTGAATAGTGAACATGCACTATATTTTGGGACAGAGGGAGTAATACTGTAATACTAAATGAATTATGTTGTACAAAATTATTTAATATCACTAGAGTTTACAAATACTTTATTTAATGGGTTAATTAGTGATCACTAGGGGCATTCTTTGTTTTTTGTTGAGGGCATCCATACATAAAATAAACAAAGTAAAAGAACTTTTTTTGACTGGGGGCAATTGCCCCCAATATGGCTTTAGGTAGATCCGGCCATGGCTTCCGCTATAGTGGACTAAATGCAACCAGACTTTTAAACGGTGTGAGAAGACTGATGTGCGCTTGTAACTGCTGGCGTCTTTGAAAAAGAGAGAAGGCTGACGTGTGCAGCTAATTGCTAACGTCGAAGAAAATTATAGAAGAGAGAAGGGCGGTTTGATTGAAGATCCTTGATATTCTTTGTCCTTTTCTTGAATTTGGGTAATGTCATGTTTCTTTTCTCAATTGTGAGAGTCTTTTATGGCTTTATTTGAGGGATGAGTTGTTGAGCTATTCTTCCTCTTCCTCTAATTTCCCTCGTGGCTTTGATTTACTTTGGGTAGTTATTGGTTCTATAGAAGAGAAAACAGTAAAGTGCATTGTTTACTTCGTACTCTTTAGAAATTGCATGTTTTACCCTTGAATTATAAAATTTGCACCGTTTACCTTCGAACTCCTCGAAAATTGCACGATTTACCCCTGCATACTAAATATTAGATAGGGAGTGCGTTGCTTCCACGCACAACAATTGCAAATATGATTCATCTGACCCTTGTGAATTTTCCAAAGCACCTTTCTGTTAGACACGATTTTATTATGTGGCCTGAGTTATCATTTATCTGATTAATTGATCGTTGACCTTATAAATACCCTACGTACTTAATTGGTAATTATTCGATGGACGTAATTACCCTTATGACCTAATTAGGGTTTCCCCTTGGGTGTATATATATAGAGGTCATTAGGCAGAGATCAACACACCAATCTTACACCTCCTCTCTGCCTCTCTATTCTCGTGAGTCTCATCCTCACCTTAGCCATCATAACGATACACCCTAAACGGGAACTCGATCTGCGTGAGAATCATGACTTCATCCCTAACTACGTTTACAGGATTATCAGGTACACATGATTAAATCCCTAATTTATATTTTATGTTTAAGAATTGATCAACATGTGGTATCGGAGCTAAATGTTGATTAATAATTCTGTTTTGAGATCCAAAAGGAAAAAAAACTGGAATTAAAAAAAAAAATCGAAAGAAATAATTTTCACCCCAATCATGTTTTTTTTAGATTCACGGCTCTTCTGAAATTTAGATCCAGAGGTTACTGCTTTCATGGTTTCGATTCCATCCACTAACTATAAATTTGGCAACCTAATTTTTGATCTCACGGTATGATATTTAAGGTTTTCTAAAATTCGCAAACCTTGATTTATGATTTGATTCCAACTTTTTTTTTAGCCACATAGAATTGATGGTTCAATAATTGGTTGGCTTATCATGTTGACCTTACTGCATCTCCTAAAACTCTTATGTATGTATTATGGATTTTAATTACAAATCAAAAGGTCAAATTTTGATATCACTTCGGTTTATTCCAGTAGCTAATAATATAATAAATTATTCATGTTCTTCATCTTTATTTTGATGAAATCATCTTATTTTGGTATTTGATTTGGAATATAATTGTGTTTCCTTAAATTATATGACATATCTCACTTTTGCATAATATATTTTTTTCCTTATTTATTACTTTATTTTACTTGAGAATAGCAAAACCAAGTAAGAAATATGCTAAAATACCATAAAAAATTTAAAATGTTTACTTGTTGGAAAATCTCTTGCCTTATATGCCTTTTGATTTTCTAATTAAATTAATCTTAATGGATCCCCAAAATTTTTGTAGCCCCGCCCCGAATCGCTTTTACTTTTGCAATTAATTAATTACTTACATTAAATTTATAAATCATTTGACTAATTTAAATAAAATTTATTTTATGATTAGTTAAATTGATTTATTTTGCTTGACTTGAATAATACCTTAGAGTACACTTCTGCCCAAAGGTGATGTGTAATATTTGTAAAATTTATTTCAAGTCTTATTAATCATTGTCATTTAGTACATATCCTTAAATAGATATTTACATGACATTTGCCTTAAATACATAATATTTCACTTCTGTCCAAAGATGATGTGTTATAATTGTGTACTGCGAACTAAATATATATGTGCATTAAAATTTAAATATTTCACTTCTGCCCAAAGGTGATGTGTTACATTCAAATTGCACATCATTATTTTATTATTCATAATGCTTAAATAAGTGGTTATAACCAAAGTGAAAGCCACTTGTTTGAGTAGTATTAAATTTAGTCTATTATTTTTGGTGTTATAATAGACTCTTATCACAGCTTCATTACTATATAATGGTCCTTAACTTCGCCAGCCTTAGTTCATTACCCCTTAAGTTCTTCTTTAATTATGTGTCTTATTTCTCTCATCTGAATCCACTATCAGCCCCAAATATGGGAATTGAAACCTTGAACGGTGCGAATTTTTCTTCATGGAAAGATTCACTGATGCTAACTCTTGGCATGTTGGATTTTGATTATGCACTGAGAGAGCCTGCTGTTAGTCGGTTTAGTCGTTGTGCCCACGCCTTAAAGGGGGGGTGAATAAGGCGTTTAAAAACTTTTCGGAGTTAAGTAAAAATGGTGTTGGCAAATGCGGAAGCAATATATAAAACGCAGAAATAAAAGCGTAAATAAAATGCACACCAATTTTATACTGGTTCGGGAACTCCCTACTCCAGTACCTCGAGGCTCCTCCTCAAGGATTTCCGAATCCACTAAGTCTCGGCCTCTTGAACTCCGTCAAAGCACCGCACTAGTTTTGGCAAACAACCCTTGCCAATAGGATTCACTCCGAGATTTCACAACGGCTATCTCGAACCGTTTACAATGAAGATTTAACGGCTATCATCTACCGTTCCCCCAAGGATTTCAAAGGCTATCCTAAAACCTTTACCCAAGGATTTATACGGCTATCCTTAACCGTTACAACGTGAGAATTTAACGGCTATTCTCGACCGCAAGAAGGTGTGTTTGAAGAACACAAAAGAGGATTCTACACAACGGCTAGAATATAAAAATGAAGAACAAAACTTAGCTGGTGTAGAAGGAAATTATGCTCTCTCAAAAATACAATATAAACTTATGAATATGAGAGTATATAACTAGAAACACAAGCTCAAAGTGTGTGTATAAAATTCAAGAATTTAAGGCTCTTGAAATAGCCAAAATATTGAAAATAATTAATAAAAGGATGAACACACTTAGAATAAAAAGAGAGGATGTTTAGAGCTTTGTTTCTTGAAGAAATATGAAGGATTAGGCTTGTATTTATAGTGGAAGATGTTAATTAGCCGTTGGGAGGTGATTAGGGTTATTTAATTCAAATTGGCAATTTTGCTACAGTGCTGTAACGGATCCGGTACCCTTAACGGTAGGGGGTTCCGTGTCATCCGGTACCTAGGTACCGTGACACGGTACGGCCTACCGTGTGGGAGTACCGTGTCTTCCAAAAGTTCAGTTCGCCTCTCGCGGTACCTGGTTAGGACGGGTTCGGCCAACCGTCTACGCCTACCGTCGGTACCTAGGTACCGTTACACGGTATGGGGGTACCGTGTAGGCGGTATACCCTACCGTGTGGCGTACCGCTAGGGGTACCGTGACTCTGTTATGATTTTTCCAAAATTCCCTCAATCCTTCGTGTTTGAGTTTAAAACCTTTTAGATATTTGAAAGTGTTTATGTGATGGTTTTAAACATATTTTGTGAGTGCTTTTGAGCTTGTGAATATAGGTATATAAAGTCATATCCTTACATTTGTTTCTACCTATATTCTACGCTAGTTTTAGTGTTTCGACTTCATTCTTGAGTACCGAATCTTAATGGATTCTTGTTTTCCTGAAACACTTAAACAAACGTTAAGCTCTTATATTGTTTGTTAACATCAAAACATGAGACTTAGCAAACCAAGGCTAACACCTGCCCCTCTTGCCTTCACTGATAAAAGTACTGCTGAAGATAAAATAGTACATGAGAGATGGGAGAGGTGCAACAGAATGACTCTTATGCTCATTAAAAATTCCATCAGCATAATCATCAGGGGAGCTATTCCAGATTCATCTAATGCTAAAACATATCTAGCTTCTGTGGAGGAACAATTCAAAGCAACTTCTAAGGCACATGCTAGTACCCTCATTTTGAAGATGGTGACTACAAAATATGATGGGAATAGCGGTACTCATGAGCACATCATGATGATGAACAACATGGCCCGTAAGCTCAAGGGATTAGACATGGAGATCAGTGAAGGTTTTCTGGTGCACTTCATAATGACTTCTCTTCCTGCATCTTTTGAAGCTTTCAAGGTCAACTACAACACCCAGAAGGTCAAGTGGTCGATGAATGAGTTGATTGCTATGTGTGTACAAGAAGAAGAGCGTTTGAAGCTGGACAAACCGGATGTGGCTTACCTCATGACCGCTAACCCAAAGAAGAGGAAGGGCAATGTCGATAAGAAGGATGTTTCTAAAGTCCAGAAACGTGATGCAAGTGCTTCTTCCGGCTCTATGAACTCCAAAGGGAAGTCTTACTGCAAGTTCTGCCGCAAGGAAGGACATAGACAGAAAGACTGCCAAGACTTTAAGGAGTGGCTGACGAAGAAAGGCAATCATCTTTACATGATACTTGAGTCCTTTAATTTAAATGTTCCAACTAATACATGGTGGTTTGACTCTGGTTCTATGGTTCATGTAACCAACTCAATTCAGGGATTCCTTACAATCCAGAAGCTCGAAAGAAACCGAAGAACACTTAAGCTGGGGAATGGAACAGAACTAGCTGCCGAAGCTGTGGGAACCATAGAATTAATAATGAAAACCGGTTTATGTATTAAACTTTATGATACCTTATATATTCCTGAGATTACTCGGAATTTAGTATCAGGTCCAAAGTTAGACATAGACGGTTTTGATGTTTCTCATGGTCATGGCAGACTTACTATTAGGTTCAATTCTCAAGTGTTTGGTCATGGTTTTCTGGATGGTGGTCTCTATAAATTAGAACTAGATGATGATTTTTCCAAATCTTTGTTGTCATATAATATCAATCAGACATTAACAAAGAGAAAACGAAAACGAGACTTAGAAACTTCATCCATGTTGTGGCATCAACGCTTAGGCCACATTTCACGAGAACGTTTGTCTAGACTCGTGAAGCATGAAGTGTTACCATCTCTCGATTTCAATGATTTTGGAACATGTGTCAAATGCCTTAAAGGTAAAATGACATCAGTGAATAAGAAAGGCGCCACTAGGAGTTCTAATTTATTAGAGCTCATTCACACTGACATTAGTGGTCCTTACTCTATCACTGGCATAACTGGACATAACTCATTTATCACTTATATTGATGATTATTCTCAATATATGTACTTGTATCTTATTAAGGAAAAACCTGAATCACTTACAACTTTTAAAGATTATAAAACTGAAGTTGAAAAACAACTTGATCGTCAGATAAGAGTTGTAAGATCAGATAGAGGAGGTGAATATTATGGTAGACATACTGATGTGGGTCAAGCTCCTGGTCCATTTTTTGAGTTTTGTAAGTCCCAGGGGATTGTGAACCAATATACCATGCCCAGTACTCCTCAGCAGAACGGTGTTGCTAAGAGAAGAAATAAGACCCTAATGGACATGGTACGCAGTATGTTAGCCAACTCAGGTTTACCTCTATTTCTCTGGACCGAGGCCTTAAAAACAGCCGTTCATATACTCAATAAGGTTCCTTCTAAAGCTGTCCCTAAAACTCCTTATGAACTCTGGACAGGAAGGAAACCGAGTCTAAGATATATTAAAGTATGGGGTTGTCTTGCCGAAGCTAAACTTTATAATCCCTTCTTGAAGAAACTCGACATGAAAACTGTAACTTGCTACTTCATTGGTTATCCTTCTCACTCAAAGGGTTACAGGTTTTATTGTCCTTCCCACGTCACCTGCATTGTAGAAACCAAACATGCTCATTTCCTTGAAGATTTTGAGGTTAGTGGGAGCAGTGAAAACCCTTATGATGAATTGCTAGAAGTACAAGACGTGGGGGGGAGAGACTTGTCGATTACTTTACCTCCAATTACTCCTCTTGTACTCAATGCCAATCCGCAGGACACTGCACCTCCTCCTATTCCAAATGTACCTGGAAATGAAGACACCTCAAATGATCACCATCAAGACAATGCCGCCAATGCTCGATCCGAAAATTTGCTCAGGAGGTCATCTAGGTATAAAAGACCTACTAACTTTGATGATTATGTTACCTACCTGACTGAAGTAGAAATGGATGCTGGAAAGTTTACTGATCCTACCTCTTATAATGAAGCCATTAACAGTGATTAGTCTTCTGAATGGAATAAAGCCATGATTGAAGAGCTTGACTCCATGAAGAAAAATGATGTTTGGGATTTGGTTGAATTACCCAACGGTGTAAAACCCGTAGGATGTAAATGAATCTACAAAACAAAACTGGACCCGAATGGAAACATTGAACGCTACAAAGCAAGATTGGTTGCAAAGGGCTACACTCATAAAGAGGGAATTGACTATCAAGAGACCTTTTCTCCTGTCTCTCGAAAGGATTCCTTAAGGATCGTTATGGCCCTTGTAGATCATTTTGACTTAGAGCTACATCAGATGGATGTCAAAACTGTTTTCCTTAATGGTGATTTAGATGAAGAAGTGTTCATGAAACAACCCGAAGGATTCAAGTCTGAAGGTCAAGAGCACTTAGTCTGTAAGCTGAAGAAGTCCATATACGGGTTGAAGCAGGCATCACGTCAATGGTACCTAAAGTTGCATCAAGTCTTGAAGTCAGAAGGTTTCATAAAGAATCAAGTGGATCAATGCACCTACCTCAAGATGAGTGGGAGCAACTTTACTATACTTGTCCTTTACGTAGATGACATTCTATTGGCAAGTAATAGTTTAGACATGTTGCATGAGTCCAAGCGCTTACTCTCGCGTAACTTTGACATGAAAGATCTCGGAGAGGCTTCTTATGTTATTGGCATCGAAATACACCGAGATAGAGTCAATGGTATTTTGGGATTATCTCAAAAGGCTTACATTGAGCGTGTCCTTACACGCTATAACATGCAACATTGCTCTCCTTCTGTGGCTCCAGTAGTTAAGGGAGATGTTTTCGGTTTATTTCAATGTCCGAAAATAGAGGTTGAAAAGGAACAGATGAGAATGATACCTTATGCGTCAGTAGTAGGAAGCCTTATGTATGCACAAGTCTGTACTCGTCCAGATATCGCTTACATTGCTGGAATGTTGGGTCGTTATCAAACTAATCCTGGTCTTGATCACTGGAAAGCAGCTAAGAAAGTTCTTCGATATCTACAAGGGACAAAAGACTATAAACTGACTTACAAAAGGAGTGATAATTTAGAAGTGGTTGGTTATTCTGATTCTGTTTTTGCTAAGTGCAAAGATGACAAGAAATCCACTTCAGGGTATATCTTTATGTTAGCTGGCGGACCTATCTCGTGGAAGAGTCATAAGCAAGAGTTGACTGCAACTTCTACAATGATGGCAGAATACATTGCGGTGTACAATGCAACCTATCATGGGATGTTGCTCAGAAACCTCATCACTGGACTCAAAGTAGTTAATTCTATCTCTCGACCATTGAAACTTTATTGTGATAACTCAGCCGCCGTTAGTTTTTCGAACAGTAACAGTTTGACTGGCGCTGCTTTATATCTTGATACAAAGTACTTGTTCGTACGTGAGCGAGTTGAGGAAAATAAACTTTGTATTGAGCATATAAGTACTAAGAATATGCTTGCGGATCCGATGACTAAAGGTCTCCCTCCTAAGATTTTCGAAAAACATGTTTCGAAGATGGGGTTTTCTAAAGACCTTATTTAATTGCATATTGTACTTGCTTACATTTAATAATAAGATTTCCTCATTGTTTTGTTTGTTTTGTCTCTGAATGTGTCTATGCATGCCTAAAGACATATAGACAACATTTATATACAAAATAATGTTATGGGCTTAATTGTCAATTTGATCCTTAGCTTATTTAAGTTTTAAATTTGGTATTGTAGTATGATTAATGGGGGTCTTGAATTGAATATTGATTCAATGACTGTATTTCTCTGCTATAATTTCGGTTTAGAACTAAAATGAGTATTAAAATCTGATCAGACTTATCTAATACTCATCATAAATGATTACTCGTCCAAGTGGGAGAATGTTAGACACAATTTTATTATGTGGCCTGAGTTATCATTTATCTAATTAATTGATCGTTGACCTAATAAATACCCTACGTACTTAATTGGTAATTATTCGATGGACGTAATTACCCTTATGACCTAATTAGGGTTTCCCCTTGGGTGTATATATATAGAGGTCATTAGGCAGAGATCAACACACCAATCTTACACCTCCTCTCTGCCTCTCTATTCTCGTGAGTCTCATCCTCACCTTAGCCATCATAACGATACACCCTAAACGGGAACTCGATCTGCGTGAGAATCATGACTTCATCCCTAACTACGTTTACAGGATTATCAGGTACACATGATTAAATCCCTAATTTATATTTTATGTTTAAGAATTGATCAACACTTTCCCCAAAATTGTCGTCATTATTTAAATGTTCAAGAGTAAACAGTACAATTTTCGAAGAGTTTAGGGATACTTGGTGCAATTTTTATTGTTCAGGGGTAAAGCATGCAATTCCTTAAGAATTCAGGGATATTTGGTGCACTTTTTAATGTTCAGGAGTAAACCGTGCAATTTTCAAAGAATTCGAGAGTAAATAGTGCACTTTTCTCGAAGAGAAAAAGAAGAGAAATTGATTATTAAGAATGGGAAATTTGAGAGTGAGGAAAAAGTGGATTAAGAATAGGTGATAGTGAGATTCTGATCTGGTAACAATGGGAGTTGCCGAACCTTCAACGATGATTGACTAGATTTTGCGGCAACATGAAATTGGATTTAGGGGAGACGACGACGGTTATGAGGTTTGGTGATAATGAAAGACAAGAATAAGAAGGTGGCGTTAGTATATTATTTTAACCGAGAAGGTGGATTGAATTTAGTTAGTTGTGGTTCGGAGTGGTTGATTGCTTATTTTAAAGTGGCCGGTCGAACTCTCTATTTGAAACATCAATTAGGATTATGCTATGTGTACCCAAGTTTTGTATCCCAATTTGTACCCCGCAGTTTTGCACCAACACTTTGTGTTGGTGTAAAACTAATTTTTGTTAAATGCACCAACATTTGTGTCCGTGTGAATTTTTATTAACGCACCAACACTTGTGTCGGTGTAAACCATCGAAATGTTTGTGCAAACCTGTGGTATACAAATGAGGTATATTTTTTGGTGTAAGTGTAGCATGGTCCCATCAATTAACATAGAGGGTGAGAACCATGCTTGTTGATTTTTTTCTTTTTTGGTGTAGACGTGGGGTAGTCAAATTATAGGCCACTGTCCCCTGATTTTTTGGCTTTGTAAAGTGTCAAATTGCCGGCCGAAGAATTGTTTCCTACATATACTCTCTTGTATTCTCCTCCGTTATTTGGATATTTGATTTGTTTTCTCTTATATGAATTTCAATCTAATTATGCTTTTTATTTGAAAGCTAATTTTTCTTTTTCTAAAACTTGAAAGTACTGATTTTTCACCTACCTTTTATTTATGGACCATGCTACACTTACACCAAAAAATGTACCCCACTTGTACACCACAGTTTTGCACAAACATTTTGATGGTTTACACCGACAATAGTGTTGGTGCGTTAACAAAAATTTATACGGACACAAATGTTGGTGCATTAATAAAAATTAGTTTTACACCAACACAAAATATTAGAACAAACATGCGAGATACAGATTGGAGTATAAATGTTGGGTACACATAATCTTTTATTTATTACGGAGTACAAATCACACCGCACTACAAGGCTTCGTTTGGTAAGAGCGTTTTCGATTAGCGTTAGCGTTTTGGATACAATTTTAATGGTGTAAATTAAATCTAAAAACGCTAACGCTAAAGGCTACCGTCGGATAGCTTTTTGAAAACGCTAACGCTAATCTCTAACGCTGATGCCAAACGGGGCCTACATCGATTAGAAACGCACTCCCAAAGTCAGTCGTACAGTCAATGGCAATGATGGCGTGGCGGAGTATCTAAAATTCTAAATGAACTTTAATGCGGAATATAACCCCCTTTGAAAATATTCCCTCCGTCCCCCTATATTTGTCCATTTTCATTTTTGCACACCATCCAATGCACTTCTTTAATCCATTTTATCTTGTAATTTGTATATTAAAAAATTATAAAAATTATATATTAATAATCTATATGTTAAGACAAATCAAACAAGATCACATATGACTATATTTAGGCTCAGTGGCGGAGCCAGAAGCTAGTGAGCGGGGGGCACGTTATGAAAGGGGTCAAAGGTGTTGTCACGAATTTTTTAAATAAAATACCGAGCAATATACAATTACAAAGAAACACAATAAATTCTTTCAAATAATTCAAAATATAACAATAAATTAATAATAGGTGCTACTCGCATTTAACGCAAAATAAAGTACTCCTAAGTGAAAATTTAATAAGTCATACTCTCTCACTCCTTCTTAAGTTCTTCCTATTTTGAATTACGATCTTTAATTAAAGTTATTGTAAATTCAATTTATATTAACATTGGTGTTTAAAAAATTGCATACCGAGTACTTAAAAACTATTTCAAGTGAATTCTAGTACAAAACAAAATGTGATGAGACTATTTTATGTTACTCGGTATTAAATTTTCAATATAAATAAGTAAAGAAAAAAAAATAAAATTTAACCTTATATTCCTTCCGTCTCTAAAAATAGTTCTAGCTTGTTTCAGTTTTTGCATATCTCATAAAACGTTTTTGCACCATTTAAAATATCTAAAATACTTCCAAAACAACTCATTTCTATAATAAAAGAGAAATGTGGTAAATTTCAGACATTATAGATGTGTATAGAAATGTATTTTGAAATGCGCAAAAAATAAAAGAAAATATTTTTTTAGACACGGAGAGAATAAATAGAACTATGAATAACCTAGATGGAGAATGAGATCGAGTATTACGTGATAATCAACAAAAATAGAAAATAATAACTCCAAATAAAAAATAACCCAACTAGAATATACGGAGTAATAACTTTACCCTCAATGGGACAATTGGATTGAAAGGTGTTTTTGTTTTTAAAAAGAGAGCCTGGGCAGTAAAGGGTGCACGCCGCAGTGCCGCACTGTGTTTTCTAAAACGACCACGTTTTGTTTAGTATGGAGAACAACCTAGCACCTAGGGCAGTAAAAAATGCTAGGTGTTTTTATTGTTAATACGGAGAACAGTGTCACGAGTATTC